TCGGGCCTGGGGCAAGCGGCGGGCAGTGGCACGAGTCCCGCTTTGATGGCTGGTGGGCGACGCCAGCAGAAATCGGGTCGCCCCGGCCAGGCAGGCCCCGCCAGGGAAATGAGCGCTTCGCAGGGGAGCTCCCGCGGGGGAGTCCGGGCTTCCCTCGCCAGGTGCCTCCCCGGCAACAGAAAGGGATAAATTATGACTCGGGAGGCGAGATAAAAGCCGCTCCGGCCCAGTCGCCTGCTATTATCTGGGAGATGAGAGCCTCTGTCTGGGCTTCCCACCCCCCGCCATCCTTAATGCGGTGACTCGACTTGGGCTCAAGGAAGCCAACGCCTGCACGTTGGAGTGATTGCAGAAGTCAAACCAGATCCCTGTAATACGCACTGCTGGTGAGAGGGTGCTAGCGCATTTTCAGGCAGCAGATGACTGGAGTCGTAACAATTATGTGGGGGTCTTTTGTTTAAGAAAACTTCAGGCCTAGATGAGTCCACGCTTGCTTACAAGATAGTGACTACTTTGTTCGGAGGGCTAGAAAAGCAAAGACAACTAGACCTGGGTATAAAGTTTCAAAGGCACAAGGCTGAACAAAGAAATATTTAGAGAAGAGGTGACAAAAGCCACGGAATTGCCAGCAAATGCCAGAACAACCAAAAAAACCAACTTTGTCAGTACTGTACTTGTAATGTGAACCAGATTGCCACAGAAAACAAAACGGGTCATAGGCTAGGGAGCAACCTTGGCTGCAGTCTGCCCCTTTTTGTCAGCGATTCCCTTGGTGGGGCGTAGCATGCCCCGCTGCTGCAGTCCTAGCCTCCTACCTCCCGTTCTCCCTTTCTCCTCGCATGTCTGTGCAGGAGGTTACTGGCAGGGCGGAGGAAGGGAACCTGTTGACATGGTAGCAGGGCATTTCACAGCCTCCTCCCTCCAGGGCAGAGTTGGGTCGTTTGACCCATTTCTTGCCATGCAGACCTGGCAATTCTGTCTTTCATCAGGACTGTCCAGCACAGCACATGATATTACTCTTTACTCCTCTAATAAGTCAAGCTCACGCTATCTTTGTCCTGTGGAAAAAGTGTGCGTGGCCATGTAATTAAAGCATGTCTAATCATGAGCTCACATAAGGAACTGAGTTTGGGTTGCGTATGTAACCTCACGTCTGGCACTTTCCACCTTTTGAGTGACTAACTTCATAATCTTATTGTTCTTTCAGCTTCGAGGTATATGTGTGTGAGAAAGATCT